AATTAGTTTGTCTTGCAAAGGCTGGCAACGCAGAGGTGGTATTCAGCAGGTTCTGACCAATTCTGGAGAACCAGTAGCAGAAATTTTGGGTAGTTCGGAGAACCGGTAAATATCACCTCTACCTCCATCTATTCTCTGCCTCCCAGCTGATCGGCTGGGTCTTCTTTTGTTGCCCTGCACAGGACAATGGAGCTGGAAAGCGGGCTAGTGGGATGGGGAGGAAATGGGGATTTTGCAGTATCCTTCCCCTGCCATGTGCACCAAGCCACCCCCACAGAACCGGTAGTAAAAAAAAATTGAATCCCACCACTGTGGAAATAAGACTAAAGTTCTGGCTTCCTTGCATTTTTAATCCTGTCTTAAATGGATTACCAAATCTGCATTTCTTAAAGCTGCCTCCTCAGTTTCTGCTGGTGGGCAGGGAGACTTGGAGGCAGCTTCCTGCCTCTAAAATAACATGTTTCTCCATTTCTCATTTAGGGGAAATATAATATTCTGCCTTTTTAATATTTCTCAAAATATTTCATTCTTCGGGGTGGGGGGGTTCCCACCCCAGTTACTGTTATGTATCACTTTAATAATCTTTTGGAGGGGATTATCCATGATAATTACTTACAGTATTAATTCTGGTGGGTCTGAAAGCTTTTATATATTTTGCTACAGCTATATAACAGTGTGCCTCATTTGCCCCTAATTTTCAATATTTCCTGGTGTTTGATATATCAACACCCTATCCTTTTGCTAGCTGAACCAAATGGTGTGTTTATATTTGCTTGGATCTGGACATAGAAATTGACTGAGAGTGTGCAAACTACCCACAGTAATTTTCCAAAACAGATTGCTTCATTTTTATCTGTATGACTAATAAGAAGTAGACTGTGAATACTTCTCCAGAAGTAAAAGTTAGGTCAGCTTTTGGCTATCACTTTTTCAGATCTTTCTTTCAGGGTTATTTTCATTCTTGGGGAGCAGTGTTACACACAGCCGATGCAGTTCCCAAGGAATTAATCATTCAAGCAAGATTTCTTATCTCTTCGGGTTAGCGCTGTGCATCTTGAGAAGAGCAACGATCTAAGATATTCTTAGACTTTGCTAGATTTTTCTGAGAAGAAACTGTTGAGAAATGCAAGAAATAAACTAGAGGCAGTGTCAGTTTTTTCCCATTATAGCATGGAGAAAACAATATGTGTTAAATGTTTAATAATAACAGTTTGATATGTACAGAGATGGAGGTTTTTTTTCCTCTTTATTGTCTTCACTCTCTGAATGTCATAAAGCTGTCTAATTTGGATGCCTTTTTAAAAAATGTTGCATAAGTTTTCCAGGATGCCTTTGAAGCTCTTATTTTAACTGAGTAGAATGTAAATATTATTTGATGTTTAATCAATGTTATATTAATAAATGTGGGGGTGTATTGCTGGCCCCCCTTTTAAACCCAAGAACATAAAACAGAAAATCCATATTTTACTGAACATAATTACATGCACATATTTGTCTGCTAAAGTTCTTTAGGCTGTTGAATCCTTTTTAGGAGACAGCAGATGACACCTGTTATTTTTCCAGATGAATTGGACTATAATTGCCACAATTCCTAGCCAATTATGCTGCAATACATTTGTAGTTCACAAAATTGGAAAAAATGGCTTAGCAATAGGAAAGTCATATCCCGTCCATTCTTCAACAGAAAATAGCCATTGAGCTACAACTAAAACTTGTAGCTTTAATGTTTGTTAGAACTAATCTTTGATCCCCCCCCCATTTTTTCCTCCTGTTTTACCCACAAATGCTTTCTTTTAGAAATGTTCTTCATTTTTTATGTTCTTCCTTTCTGTGTGTGAAGATTTTTTGAAATGATTAAAATTTGTATAGCTTTAGCAAACTCAATTTCATTCAGGGCCGCATCAGGGTTGTGTTTGTCCATGGAGGGCAGGGGTGACGTGGCCAGGGTGGGCATGGCCAACTCGATGACACTCATGTCTGGGGCACCTGTGGTGGCCTGGGCGTGCTCCAGGCTCTGTTCTCGGCTGGGATAGCCTCCTGCAGCTCTCTGGCAGCAAAAATGGGCATGAAGCCCCCTGGGCTCCATTTTCTCTGGGCCAATCCTTGGGTGGCCCCGTGGGCCAGATCTAAGCACTCCGCAGGACAGATCCGGCTTGCAGGCCTTCAGTTTGACACCCCTGCTTTAGCATATAGGCCAATGGTGGGGAACTATGGCTCTTTTATGATTTGTGGGGTTCAACTCCCTGTCAAACCTGAAATGGACGTATGTGTAGCCATTTTAGTTAGGCTTAGTATATATTCTTTTTCTTACTTTCTCTGTGGCAGTCATGGGGGGAAGGGTTTCAGGCTTGCCACATTTCTAAGGGGGTGAGGAGTGGAGATAAAGAGAATTGTTTTGGCTAGGTGATTCTTCTTCCCATGGGAAACAGGCTGTCCGTGCTTAGGCCTCTTGAGGTGGAGATTTATGACATCAAGCAACGTTGAATTACTTCTATTGGAGAATGTGACTTTGGGGGGTTGTTTCTAACTTTTAATATTGTGGGGTAATTCCGGGTTATGTCACATCGGGAATTACTTTGGACTTTGCCAATTTGATGCTTTCCTAGATAAAAGAATTTGTCTTGGAAGATGACTTTGTTTTATTCTTTTTAAATGGATTTCCTCACTTGGAAACCTGACATTATTCTGGATACTGGCTCAGTGTTCTGACTCAACCGGGTTCCCAGAGAGCAAACACAGACAAAGGCAGTAGCCCCCACCTTTTAAGGTTTAATCACAATTCTGTTCCTTTTCAGACAAAAGGCTGCTTTCCAAAAATTAGCTCCGACAAGAAAGAGCCTTGCCAAGTTGTTTGTCAAGGCTGCCAAAAACCCAGAGATAAGAACTAATTTACAGAATTCTTCAAACACGAACTAAGATGTCCACCAGTTGAGTTTCAGAGCTTCTTTGCTAACCCTTTTCCAAACATGGCTTTTATCTTCTTGAGGGAGGGGCCATTACCTTGTAGCCTTACTCCCGAGTTGCCTGTGCTGCTATAATTGTACTTTCCTCTGAGTAATCCTTCATGCACGTGCACTTGGCACAGGCTCCTTGGGAACCTCCTCATCACTGCTGCCAGCCCCCACAATCTCTGAAGGCAGCAGTCCATTCCCTGATGGTCCTGGCCCCTCATCAGAGTCATCGCTCTCCTCAGCCATCTGCACCTGCTGCTGGCTAACCACAACACTCAGGAATTTTGGGAGTTCAAGTCCACAAGTTATAAAGGGACCACAGATGGTAGACAGAGGTGGTATTCAGCAGGTTCTGAAGAACTGGTAGTGGAAATTTTGAGTAGTTCAGAGAACTGAAAAATACCACCACTGACTGGTGATTTTAAATTATCCTTCCCTTACTACGCCCACCAAGCCACCCCCGCAGAACTGGTAGTAAAAGAAATTGAATCCTACCACTGATGGTAGAGGAAAGAAACTGTCGATCCTGTAGCACTCTCAGTAATTAATAATGATTTTAAACAGAACAGTAGCCACAGAGAGTAACATTGGTAAATGGTTCCATGTCAGGGATACAAGTCAGCTCATTAACAGAGCAAACACACAGCAGTATAAGATTGCAAATCTAAACTAGTGGCATCTTTCTGTGGTAAAATAATAATCTTTTTTTCTTTTGGCTACACCTCATGTGCAGTGAATTCAAATTTTTTAATATAAGGATACATTCAAAATTCATACTCACATGCTTAAACCATATTAGCAAATTAATGGATGTAAGTTTGCTTCAATTTTTTTACAATTCCAGCATACTGAAGTCAACAACTAATCCCTTTTAGCATTCATTCTGTGTGGCGTCTAATAAGCTTGGAAGTAGATCTTTCCTTGAATTAAAATCATCTTAAATTCACAGGAGAAATACTTAACCTGTAAAACCCTTAACAAGTGAATTGTACTAATCCAACTTTTTATTCCAAAATTCTTAAAGAAAGTGAATATCTAGTTTAGATTGAAATACTGGTTCGGCGAACCAGATGTAACTTTAACATCCGGTTTGCCCAAATTGGTCCGAACCAGTAGAATCCCACCCCTGGTTGCGTTTGTCCTCGGGGGGGGGGGCACCGTGGGTGTGGCCAGCTTGACGTCACTCGTGTCCGGGACACCTATGGCGGCTCAAGCACTCTGCCAGTGAAAATGGTTCCCATGTCTTGGGACAGCCTTCTGAAACCATCTGCCAGCAAAAACGGAGCTCGGGAGGGCCACTCAGTTTTGTTTCCAGGGCACCCTTTGTGGGCCCGTGGTCCTTGATTTTGACCCCTCTATCCTAGAGTGTATCTTGCTGATCCAACTTCATGACTGCCTAAGTAGAACATTTCATCTGGATCCGGTTTACTCTGGCTCCAACTTTGGGATGGCAGTCTCCTTCTTAGCCACTACAAGGTTTTTGCTGGAAGTAAGATTTATAGAATGATTCTGTTGGACCTCGACTGCTCTTGTATTACTGACCAGGGGTGGACAACTATGGCCCCTTTATGACCTGACGACTTCAACTCCCAGAATTCCTGAGCCAGTTGAGATCCACAGGTTTTAAAACAGCCATAGCTGCCCACTTCTGTTATTGACTATAGTATGCTTCTGAACAATCTTACTGGACTGAGGCAAAATTTTTGGGGAGGTTATTGTGTGGGGATTCTACGTTTCTCCTTGTGGATAGATTTTAGAGTTAGACAGTATGGTTGAGAAATCTTCCTGGATTTTCATCTATGAATCTGGTATTTCAGTATCTGCACAAAATCACTCGGAGAAGCCACTTGATTTCCCAAACTCAGGTTCTTTATTGTCAAAATACAGAATCTTGACAATTACACTCTGAAAAGAAAAAAAGAAGAAGGGGGGGTCGGGGGAGCAGGCAGGGAAGGCACATTTCTCCAGAATGTCTCTCCCAATAAACTACAACTAGTTTTACTATGCTGTAGCTATTTAAAATGAGAATTTCATGCAGTTTTTTTTAGTTTTTTAAAAATAAGGCAGCAAATAAACCCACGTTTTACTTTTACTAAATATTCCTATGGGTGCCAGGTTGTTCCAGGGGCAAAGATTAAATATAGGTTTCCATTTAAATACACAACACAGTAACACTTCATTCACAGGTCTACAAGGGATCAGCAAATTATAAAAGTGATTGTATCACCTGCAAAGTTCCAGTCCTTTTGTTTTCTCAAATGGGAATAAACTCATTTCTGATGAAGAATAATAGCGAACTGACGTTACTGTTCATATCTACCGTATAAAACCCATCTTCTGAATTTTGTTAAATTCAAATGTTGAAATTATATCTCACCAGTCATTTCGTGCCCTTTTAATCTCCCTGCTAAATTTAGCAAGATTCCATTCAGGGTGCAAATCGTTTAACCTGCTGGGAACAGTCAAGGAAAGAAGAGCCCATTAGTAGCCACTATCTCAAAGAACAAGGAGTCTTTCAACAGACTCAATTGATTAAAATGGGAGTAAGGAAGAAGCCACAGAGATATAGAACTTTATCAAAGGAAGCCAATTACTCTATCACATTTGCTTAAATGTCTTCTGGTTTGGAAGTGGGTAGTTGGCCTGTTCCCATGTCACATATTCATGCATTCACGCTAAGGCCTGAACAGGACAGCACATAAGGTAACTGACCAGTGAAATGGGATGACATTTCATCCGCTGTCTATCTCTAGGCAAACGTGTTTATGTGGGAGACACAAAATAAGTATTATCTAACAGTCTTCCCAGGAAGTGCAGAACTTGGATCAAAATCCCTTCCTGGATTACAGTAATTAAGCAGCCCAGTTGCAACTAGGCAGTTAAAGAGGTGAGGGGTCCTTGGTGCTCTCTGAACCTGGTTATCTATGAAGATTCTCAGTGTTATATGTGGAAATTATATATTGTTATACCTGAGAAAATGAAAAACAGAAGGGAAGCCATACTTATCCAATATTTGAACTATGAAATGATTATTGGACAGTTATATAACTATATCTAATAAACATGTACTGTTTTGTAACTTGTTATGTTTTAAAAATAAAATGTTAGGTTCTTGGCTGGAATAGGTGTTTGTAATCTTGGCTTATAGATAAATGTGAGAGATGCTGGGTCCTTCTGACCCAACGGAAATCTGTTAATGATCCATTGTGCTTAGATGACCATAACAGGACCATAACAGGAAGAAGAAGCCATGAGAACGAGAGTAGTTTCCAAGGACAAGGAAACAGGTGGTATGCTACAATAATAAGGGTGTGGCATAGGGAGATATGTAGCTTGGATAGATTGTGAATCCAGGAAAGGGGCAGAGACTGTATATTCGAATCTGTATATAAACCCCAGCCTTCCTGGGAACCACAGAATGAGCAGAATTCCCTTTTGCTAAAGCTTAATAAAGCTGTTATATATTGTTCACATGTCTCCAGATTTCAGTTGTTGTTTTTTTTTATTATTATTATTATCACACTCAGTCTTCCAGGTCAGGGGTCCCCAAACTTGGCAAGTTTAAGACTTGTGGACTTCAACTCCCAGAATTCATTAAGGAATTCTGGGAGTTGAAGTCCACAAGTCTTAAACTTGCCCAAGTTTAGAGACCTCTGATCCAGGTCATGGGTGTCCCAAAGGTGCTTTTCAAGAGGCAACTGGGCTTCCTTTATTTTTCCTTGAAGACACTTCGCTTCTCACCCAAGAAGCTTCTTCAGTTCTGAGCCTGGTTGTTTTCTTGCAGACATTTCATTCATTACCCTAACTAGGTAACACGATCAGTGCTAGTGATTAGCATTGATGATGCCATGTAGTAGTTTGGGTAATGAAACATCTGCAAGATAACAACCAGGTTCAGAGACCACCAAGCACCCCTCATTTCAACCCTGAGCTACAAATATTCTCCTTTATAGGTTTACTTGGTTTTTGAAGACTGGGATTAACTAGTCAAACTGTGGAGGTGCCTCCTTTAGTTTTCTTCATAGGAATATCCAGCAACCATTCTTTGGATCAGAAAAATACATTTCATACCGTCTTCATCTAAAGCAGGGGTGGGCAAACTTTTTGGCTCGGGGGCCTCATTGACTTTTAAAATTTGACAGACGGGCCACCACCTGGTGTCAAAATGCCTGTCATTACAAGTCAAAATCAAATGAATGCAATCATTCAATCATTCACATCAAACCTTAATTCTGTACCAATCTTCGGCGGGCCGGATTAAAAAGACCAACAGGCCGGATGTGGCCCCCGGGCCGTAGTTTGCCCACCCCTGATCTAAAGGCAGAATGTGTATGATCTGATCCTAGCGCTTTACCTATCCATCTGCGTGCAGAAATATTCTGCAATTCCCAAGAATCTTTATTGTTTAGAAATTTCCACTAGTTTTATCTTGAAAGTGGCATTTGGCGAGTGTGTCTTCCAGGACTGTGTGTCTAAAGAAGCTTCTGCAAAAACGGCACTATAACAAGCTGTCAATTCAAGTTGTGCGGTAACAAGGGATGAAATGGAAAACTCCATAATTGAGGACAACAAAAGCAATCCCAGGCTTCTTTCTTCAGGGTGATTAAGGAACAACAGAGCATTTCAAGAAAGACACAGCTAAAGATGCTTCATAAATAAAGGGCGCAAAATCCACAAATGATGTCACAGGCTACTGGAAGCACAAACCAATGTAAATCAAATAACTGTAACAAATTTAAATATTGTTTCATACAGCACAAAAATTATCAGAAGAATTTACTTCCAGGTAGATAATAATAGTTTTGAACTAGAATTAGATTTACATCCATATCTTTACCGAATAGCTTAGTTTATGTAGGTGAAGAGCGGATGGAACTGGTGGGTGGAGTTAAATTTGGCATCAGCTTAGAGTTGTTATATTCCCAGAAACAGTCCAAGTCTAACTCCTCTTAAATTCTGCTGACACTTATCGCCAATTAAGTACTGAACTTTAGTTGACTAGATTCTTGTGTGTAGGCTTGAATAAATTTTCTATGTTGCAACTTAATGTATCATCCTAGTCTTTTGCACCTGACAGCTAATAGGTTATATTTTGTACTCTTGAGACCACATTGATCTTTTAGAGTGTCTCTGGATCTAGATGTATATTTATCCTTGATGTATTTAATTGTCCTCTGTAAACACTGTAAGTAAAGAAACAAATGCTCCCTGGTTTTCCTTGCATATAAGCGGAGAAGATAAAACATGAAAGAATGGAATCTAAATTCACCCAAGTTGAAAACTGCTCTTTTTTCATGAACTTGCAAGCAATTTTCCAATCACAGATTGATTTCCTCTTTTCTCAGCTATACACATCCACGCCATCTAAACATTTCCTAGGCACACGGTTGGTCACTTTTGCCCTTCCTCTTTCTCTGTGGTTACGGCCTAGAAAGGCACTGTCTTCCCTTCTCTCCTTTTCATCATTCAATGAAAAGTGTCCTCTCTAGTCACCTATTTTCTACGGATCCACGGTTTAGCACATAATAGTTCTGGCTGCAACCGCCATCACTTTGCCAAAAAAAAAAAAATCACACTTTTTGCAACTCTGGAAGCTCATAAACCTAACCCATGCAGAGCGATGCAGCTTAGGAGTGGTTTAGCTCAGCAAACGTGGCATTTCCTTTTCCTCTTTCACTGCAAATCCAGGTCAGACGTGGCTTCAAATTTGTGGAACAGTTGGAGATGTCAGAAGGTCAAACTTGATTAGTGGCTTGGCAATTACCCGAACCTCCTCATTCAGTGGGTTGGATTTTAAGTTCACACACTGCAGAGATTCCATGGAAGCAAGTTTCTCAACAGGAACATCTATAGGAAGAAGAAACCGAATGTTGAAATGCAATTCATCTATCAATGTTTCTTTTAAAAGAAAGAAAATTGGTTAATGTTACTAACAATCAAAATATATATATTCAGTATATTCAAAACATTAATTTGAAATGCATCTGAGGAATGTAATACAGCGACAAAACTAGCGATATTTTTATAGTAGCGGAAATTCTGAGTAGTTTGGGGAACCGGCAAATCCCACCTCTGACTGGCCCCGCTCCCATCTATTCTCTGCCTCCCGAGTCCCAGCTGATTGGCTAGGTCTTCTTTTGTTGCCCTGCCCAGGAGAATGGAGCTGGAAAGCAGGTTAGTGGGGTGGGGAGGGAATGGGGATTTTGCAGTAACCTTCCTCTGCATGCCCACCAAGCTACGCCCACCAAGCCGCGGCCACAGAACCAGTAGTAAAATTTTTTTGAATCCTACTACTGATCAGGGTATATCACTGCCAGTCAGTTATTCAGACCTAGGATTCACCTTTGTCTCCCCAAATATATTAAAGGGCTGGTTTTAAATTTGCATCTGTACAGAGTTAGGGCAAGTGCACCCATCCATGGATAAGGTGGTTATAAACTGGACTTCTGGGGAAGCAATGGTGGATTAAAACAGCTTTGCTTTTGGCAGAGTTGATGACTGTCACAGAACAAGGTGCCAACAGATGGATTGACACCTCAAAACTTCTCCCCAGATAAAGGAGGGAAGCTGGGATCACCCAGAAATGCTCAAAACAGTTGCTCCCTTGGAAAAAACCCCCCATAAAATAGCAGTCTCCTACGGGTTTGTATTATTATGTATGTTGGGAAAGATTGTTGGGAAAGATTGAAGGCAAAAGCAAAAGGAAATTACAGAGGATGAGATGAGATTTGGGCAAACCCTGGAAGATAGTGAAGGACCAGGGGGCCTGGTGTGCTATGGTCCATGGGAATCACAAAGAGTGGAACATGACTTGTGTTCCAACAACAACAACAACACAGGTCTGGAGCACTGGGAACTGAAGGGCAGTCAACTTTGTTCAAGCTGCAGCTGGGAGTCTTCAATAAAATTAACTTGTGGGACATTCTTTCAAGAGATTAAAGATGAAGGTTTTTAATTTGTTCTTGTTTCTGGTAGCTCTAAACGAATGTGTATTGACTAAGTTTAAATGATGAGGCTTTAAATATTCGTTTATACATAAGAGATAAAATACGGGGCAAAGAAATTTTTTGTTGTGTTTTTAAAGAAAATAAGCTACTGTATTAAAAGTAAAGCAGTATGAAATCGATTTATTTCATTAAAATGAATATATACATGTTGTTATTTCTGGTAGCTCTTAATGGAGTTTTGCTGGTTAAGATTGAATGACAAGGCTTTATAGTTTGTGTATAGATAAGAGATAAGATATGCAATGAAGAGATCTTTCTTTGAACCAAAAGTGTCTTTTCAAGAGGCACCTGGACTTTCTTTGTTTTTCCTTGAAGATATTTCGCTTCTCATCCAGAAGCTTCTTCAGTACAGTTGCCTTTTGAAAATGCACCTTTGCGACAACTATGACCTGGAGAACTGAGGATCTCCATAAGACATTTAGATATTTTTGGTTGGAATGTTAGAAAAAGTGATAAGTTATTGAAATTGTTTTGATGTGGCTTCCGGTTTGAGCTTCTTCGGTGACAGAATGAAACCGCGACTCTGCATGGTTTTGACCCATGCTCACCACTGGAGCACCCCAAGCTGGCTGTTTTGGGGGTAAGCCACCCCGTAGAGGTGGTGAAGAAGGGGGAGACTGCCTGCAGGGTTGAGGAGAGCCTCATCTCTCCTCCTCAGCTGGCCATTACTCCCTTTCCCGAAGGCGGTTGTAGCGGTGGTCAGAAATGGCCACCCCAAAGAAGAACTCAACCGGAAAAGAATGTGCAGGAGGAAGATAAGAACAGAAAGTTCTGGTTGACCGGGTCAAACAGCAAAAGCAACAAATAAGGTACACTGGAATTTAAACTATAAAAAAATAAAATAACACTGTTCCCAAAGAAGATTTTCAAGCAGCGAAGGAGAGAGAAAAGGGAAAGGATTTGGTTTTTTTTCTCCTCTTCTTTTCCCTATACTGACAGCTAAGAGACTTAAGCAAGAAATTGGAAAAAAAAATCCACTTTGACATTAATAGGCATTTAAGCTGAAAATCAAATGTCAAAGGCATAATAAAGATTTCTGGATATTTAAAAGCTTTTGAAAGCAGGAAAGGAGAGAAAAAGAATAAAAGGGCAGGATCTGGAAGGGAGGAGACTGCCTGGAATTAAAAATAACTTACAGCAAAATCTCAACAAGACTTCTAAAAGATACATTTTAACTGAAACATGGCAACAAAATAGTAAAATAGTATTATTTAGAACATGGCAAACATCCAAGTGGGGAAAAAAAAGGAAAAACTTCCATACCATAGATGCCACATCTGCAGAGACCAAATTTGTTCTTAATGATGAGTTTTTATTCTTATACTCTAATAGATTTATCTCCTTTCAGAATGTCAAGGTCTCCAGTGTACCCACGTTGCCTCCAATGAAAAACCTGCTTATCGGAAAAGCTAATTTTTTCCCACTTAATAAACATCTATATGTAAATTCTTTTGTCCGGCTTTATCAGTGTGGTATAGACAATCTGTTCTAAAAATCCTACTTGTTACTATCCTTTCTGAGGATTTTTTTACACCAAAGAAATGATCTAAATTAAGCTACCATGTTTCTCATATAATAAGGCCGGGTCTTTTTTTTTTTTTGAGCCCCCCAAAAATGGCTAGGTCGTCTTTTCGAGGGTGACTTAATTCCCCCCCTTGCATCTTTGGGTGGGCGGGCGGGCGGTGACAGCTTGGATGTTGACCTCGGTGTTGGTTGGGCACTTCGTATCGGGGTCAACTCAGGCAGCACCGTATCCGGGTGTGCAACAAAAGTACTTCCTAACGGCAAGCCCCCCCCCCACCATTCCCCCCCATTTCACATGTTTTAATATAGGCCTTAATTTGGGGGGAGGGGCTTAATTTCATTTCATGCCTCTACAACATGCTGGGACTTCCTATTGGGGGAGGCCGTATTGTTGGAGAAACAGGGTAGTATGTATTAAACAAAAGGAACTTGATAAATTCCATGAATGGGTGACTAGATAATAATCCCAGAATTGTAAACTAGGCTAAAGGAAAGAAATAATCGTGGGAGAAAAGCTTACATTTAAATGATTTATCTTTTAGGATTAAC